GCAACTAATACAGTTCGTGTGATGTGTATTGCCTTTAATTTTTGTTGATTTTGGACAACCGACCACATGAGATGCCACTCAAGCCAACTTAATTAAAGCAATTTCAATGGGTTGGTCCTTGTGCATAATGAAGAGCCTTTTCTTCTCTTACAAGTAAATCATAATTCCGATATTATATCAAATTATGATTTTTCTTCTTTTGTGTAGATATAGAAAATGACCCTTATTAAATAAAAGCATACAAACACACAGACCAAGCTGTAGTGGGTTAGGTTATGATTTACTTCTTTTATGTATATATATATAGAGAAAATGACCCTTATTAAATAAAAGCATACAAACAAATAGACAATGCTTAGAGTAGTTATTCATGTACCGAGATTTGCTTTGTTTTTTCTTTTATAAAAGGACCTTTCTTATTGAGAGAGTAGATGATATAATAATATACACTACACGGATACTAGTAACCGAGGTTTTGTGTTTGAATTCTCATTTTTCCAATATCTTCCTTTCCCAATATCAATTTCATAAAATTTAAAAAAAGAAAAAAAGGAAAATGGAAACGGCACACGCGGAACGCAATTAAAGGAAAAAGGAAATAATAAATTAAAGCGTTCCTGCAACAAATACAAAGTCAACACGTTACGGCTAACAGCCAATGATGAAGCAAAATAAAATTTTAACAAAAAAAGGAAAAAAGAAAAAGAAAAAGGGCCAAAGAAAGACGACGACGCGTAGCTTATCGTTCATGCCTCTTACTAGTCTAGAAGAAAAAGAAGGCGATCCCGATATTCGGGTTCAGAGCTTAGAATTTAGCTCAGTAAAACAACAACAGGGCCCATTTTCATTCACTACAAGTCTGTCGTTTTTTGACTTTTTCTTCTTCAACGGTCTGCCGTCTCTCTCCGATCCTCTCCTTCTCTGAATTCGTCGTCGACACAAAGCCATCAAGCTCGGTTCTTTTCTTTACTTAATCTCTGATTCTTGCTTTGGGGCTGAAACTTGAATAATTAGGGTTTTCGATTTTCATGGAAGCATCGCCCGGAAATACTAGTCCAACCAGTGGAGGCAACACTGGGAATAATAGCAATAGCACGACGTCGTTTGGGTCTATGCAATTCCCTGCCCTCCGTTTCTTCCAGTCTCCGCTCTCCTTCGTATTAGATTACTCCGGTATACTTTCTCCGAGCTCTTCCCGCCACGAAGCTGACGCTCCGGTGGTCAACGCCGTAGTCGTCGCCGATTCTCGCCCCCATTCCCCTTCGGCCTGCACCTCCGGCTCTAGCAATACCGGAGAGGTTTCAATTCGCATTATCGGCGCCGGTGAACAGGAAGACCGCGGTAACGGTGCCGCAACTGTGCCGTTTCATGGGGACGGAAATGGTGGATCGCTAGGGCATAGCGGTAGGGTTCAATCGTTGGATAATCTGGCGGGTACAGTCAATGGGGTTGGGTCAGGCGAGAGAGTCCCCTTGGTGCCTCCGTCTTCTCCAGAACATGGGCGTGACGTTGGGGACACTGGGGATGGTGTGGATAATAATTCTAGGGATTCTGCTTACCAGAGATATGATATTCAACAGATAGCCAGATGGATTGAGCAGGTTCTTCCGTTTTCGCTGCTTTTACTCGTTGTGTTCATTCGTCAGCATTTGCAAGGTACTCACACCCACCACTTACTTCAAATTTTAAGTGCAGATTGTCTCTATGATCATTCGTGTAAGTTTGAATCAACTAATATGAAGCCCAAAACTTAGCCTTTGCTTTGTAAGTTTGAATCTGCAGGGGCATGAGTGTTTCCTATTTTGTTTGTGTTATTTTAGAGGGACTATTTTATTTGGAGAGAGCATTTTAGACATGTACTGATCTTGGTTTTACAATTTAGATGGAGCTGGGGTTTTCTTGGCCATTTTGAGTTGAGTCACATCCATATTCTTTGGTAACTTTAACAGTTGATGTTACCCATTCTAATAATTGTGACATAAAATACAAACTCGAATTATGCAGAAATCAGTATCTTATGCATATTATCAATTAACTATCATAGAGATGCCAATGTGATAGGCTGTAACATCTGAGCTAATACTTAAAATCTTGAGGACAAGTTTTCTTCCACCAGGCACATGTTTATTAGTTTCAGTCTTAATCTTAAGCTTATCCAATTCTAAAAAAATATCTTTTCTCATAAATGTCAAATGGCAATATCTATGTAAATGAATGGAGAAGAACTAAATGGTTTTAATGTGTTTGTCTTGCATTTTTTTTTATCACTGCAATGCTGTTTATTCATTTACTTTTTGGGGTGATAACTTGCAGGTTTCTTTGTCACTATATGGGTATCAGCTGTCATGTATAGGTCAAATGATGTTGTTCGGAAGCAAACAGCTCTAAAGGTAATTTGATACATCTTTGATTATATGAGATTATATTATCCATTTGTTCCCCCACTGCAAAATCTGTTGAATAGCAGATCAAATATCTCAAACAATTATTGGTTTCTGCAGGGAGATAGGAAAATTCCAGTTCTTCTAGGTATTGCTGCTGCTTTTATGCTTCATGTAGTTGGTGTTTACTGGTGGTATCGAAGTGATGATCTTTTATACCCATTGGCAATGCTTCCTCCGAAAGCCATACCACCTTTCTGGCATGCGATATTCATCATTTTGGTCAATGGTATGGAGACAGTCTTTATTGTTAAAATTTCTTTGTGAAGACAACTGATATACTAATTTATTAAGTGTAGAGTAGGTCGTTCATCTTTTGTAACCATCAGAGAAGGATCTGTTATGAATGTTGGAGATAGAATTCAATAGGGTTTTAAGTTTTGCATTGAAATCCTAAATTTAAAGTTCTTAAGTCTGTCGGACTGTCTTAGACTTTATTCAATATTTCATGTTGTCCCTCTTCTTTTTTGTGCCTACTTGGAGCTATCAGTTAATGTGGGGTTGTCTCTGTTTCTGGTTCTATATAATGCTTCTGTCCTCTGTTTGTCCCTGTAATGTTGCCTGCTTATTTCCTATGTCGCTTCTCTTATTGTGCCGTACTTATCTTTCTTTGAATATGTTGGAGAGTTTTTTTTCTTTCTGAATTTTATTACATTCAGATACCATGGTGAGGCAGGCAACGATGGCTCTCAAGTGTTTGTTGCTTATATACTACAAGAATGGCAGAGGCCATAATTATCGTCGGCAGGTGACATGATGCTGAGCATTAGAAATTTCCATAAGCATTTTATCTTCAAATATCTCATAATTTGGAAAAACTCGCTGAAAGTTGTTATCTCATTTTGAAGGGTCAAATATTAACTGTGGTTGAGTATACACTGCTGCTGTACCGTGCCTTGTTACCAGCACCTGTTTGGTACAGATTCTTCCTGAACAAAGATAATGGGAGCCTCTTCTCGTCACTTACTACAGGATTGTATTTAACTTTTAAGCTAACATCTGTCGTTGAGAAGGTAAGTCTATTAAGTAGTAAGCTGTTGTACTAGAACATGATGATATACTTCATGGCACTTGAATTGGGTTTATATGTTATATTTATATTTTATTGCTTTTTAGGTCCAATCCTTTTTTGCTTCAATAAGGGCATTATCGCGGAAGGATATCCATTATGGGGCGTATGCAACATTGGAACAGGTATGAAATCTAACTAAATGATTTGATTTACTTTGGGTTCTGGAAGCTAGATCAACAACGTTGAGATCATTTTCTTGCTATTTGTGTTATGTTCTTTATTACCTAAGTTAAAAGAAGGCTATATGTACCCACCCATCCTGTATTTATCTTTAACCTATTAAACTTGGTTTTTCTTGTCCTTTCAACAAATTAGAAGCTAGTTAGCTGCGTAACCTTTCAAACTTTATACTTTCTATTTCATTTAAAATATGTTTGTGTCTGCATTAAAGCATGTTTAGTGTTACATAGTGAATACAATTGTTGTTTTTCCGCATAAGTAGTTATCTATGCATTCCAGCTCACAAGTATTTTGCTTCAGGTAAATGCAGCGGGGGACCTTTGTGCCATTTGCCAGGAGAAGATGCATGCTCCGATTCTGCTGCGCTGTAAACACATTTTCTGTGAGGATTGTGTCTCAGAATGGTTAGTTTGTTACCTTATGTTTCTCACTGAGTTGTAGATCAATGATCATGATATTATATTAGAAATATTGGAAACCTGTTCTTTACAAGGACGAAATGTGATTTCTAGTATGTCTCTCATACTTTGCTTGTGAAACCTTTAACTCTCTTAGAAAAGGCCACCGCCCTTGAACAAAATCTTGCCTCTGGCAAGTTTTGCTTTGGTCCAACTATCTGTATCCCCATGTATTGGCCAGAAGCATTGGTGCTAGATCAACTGCTTGCCACTATTGTGGATTTCATGCTGCTTAATTGAACCAGAATCTTACTAGATTTCTAGATTTTTGTTCAACTATTTCACAATGTAGAGCTTATATTTATCTTTTAATATGTCGACCAACTGACAACTACTTTACCTTTTCAGGTTTGAGAGAGAAAGAACTTGCCCTTTATGCAGGGCACTGGTAAAACCTGCGGATCTGCGAACATTTGGGGACGGATCAACAAGTTTATTTTTTCAGTTTTTCTAAAATTTGGAATTCACCGATTGGAGAGCCTAGATAATATGAGCAAGCAGAGCAGCATTCTTGAAACAGTCCCCGTTTTGTGTTTTGTTAATAGGCAAATGAATGTATTCTGATAGAGCATTGTATCATGATTAAGGTTGCCTCCAGGTAATGTGTTGCAATCCTGAGGTCATCCATGAGCTCTCAATGGATGACATAATAGATGACATGATTACTAAACTCCATATCTCCTCCTGCTTGACATGTTATCTCCTTTAGCTAGTTAGCTGCGTAACCTTTCAAACTTTATACTTTCTATTTCATTTAAAATATGTTTGTGTCTGCATTAAAGCATGTTTAGTGTTACATAGTGAATACAATTGTTGTTTTTCCGCATAAGTAGTTATCTATGCATTCCAGCTCACAAGTATTTTGCTTCAGGTAAATGCAGCGGGGGACCTTTGTGCCATTTGCCAGGAGAAGATGCATGCTCCGATTCTGCTGCGCTGTAAACACATTTTCTGTGAGGATTGTGTCTCAGAATGGTTAGTTTGTTACCTTATGTTTCTCACTGAGTTGTAGATCAATGATCATGATATTATATTAGAAATATTGGAAACCTGTTCTTTACAAGGACGAAATGTGATTTCTAGTATGTCTCTCATACTTTGCTTGTGAAACCTTTAACTCTCTTAGAAAAGGCCACCGCCCTTGAACAAAATCTTGCCTCTGGCAAGTTTTGCTTTGGTCCAACTATCTGTATCCCCATGTATTGGCCAGAAGCATTGGTGCTAGATCAACTGCTTGCCACTATTGTGGATTTCATGCTGCTTAATTGAACCAGAATCTTACTAGATTTCTAGATTTTTGTTCAACTATTTCACAATGTAGAGCTTATATTTATCTTTTAATATGTCGACCAACTGACAACTACTTTACCTTTTCAGGTTTGAGAGAGAAAGAACTTGCCCTTTATGCAGGGCACTGGTAAAACCTGCGGATCTGCGAACATTTGGGGACGGATCAACAAGTTTATTTTTTCAGTTTTTCTAAAATTTGGAATTCACCGATTGGAGAGCCTAGATAATATGAGCAAGCAGAGCAGCATTCTTGAAACAGTCCCCGTTTTGTGTTTTGTTAATAGGCAAATGAATGTATTCTGATAGAGCATTGTATCATGATTAAGGTTGCCTCCAGGTAATGTGTTGCAATCCTGAGGTCATCCATGAGCTCTCAATGGATGACATAATAGATGACATGATTACTAAACTCCATATCTCCTCCTGCTTGACATGTTATCTCCTTTGTATAGATGCAATGCAACCCACCTCTCTCTCTCTCTCTCTCTCCACTAATAAATTGGAATATCATTTCATGCATCTCTTTTAGCCGAAGTGGCTGCTTTAAATATGTGGGATTTTGTTTTATTGATTATCCTTTAAAAGAAAATGGAAGGGTTTAGGGCCTACTCACACATGAGGAAGAAGACAAAATGACTGCTTTGTCGGATTTGTAAGTGCTGTAATTAGAATTATGACTTGGTTGAAAGTTGAATGTTAATTTGGGTTAATGCTTTCTGCTGGGTCGCGGTCCTTGCAGACTACTGTTTAGCATTTAGTGTTCAACAGACTTCGATTTCCAGCCTTTGATAATCATCATTTTTTTGGTTCCTAAGATTCGGTCGGTTTTAAGGGATTCAATCCAGCTATCCAATAATAGTTTCGCAATTAATCGGATGGTTTCGCAATTAATCGGATGGCTGTTAAGGACTTCTTGTTATAACCCCTTATTAGTCTCTCTGTACAACACTATGCGGTACGTACGTAGGGATCTCCCTCCTCTTTGGTTCCATTTGTGCTCCAAACTCTTCCCTTCCATGAACAGAGTCCATGAGCTCAGGATTCCTATTTGATCCGGCAGGGTCTTTTGGCAAGGATGAAAGTGAACTGAATGCACAAGAGAGACTTACTGTGCATGACGTGTCGCATGCCATGAAATTCAAACAATAAATAATGATTTTATAAATAAAAAAAAGCCTTAGTGTGTGTGGTCCATTAGTTTTTTGTTTTAAAAGTCAATCAACTTTACAAGGTTTTTCCTGAATGATATGAATGTAATCAGGATCAGAATTGTTGGTGGTCCAGTGACATGTATATAGAGTCTGGCTGCTGCTTCTGCTGCTCCTGCTCCCCATAGCAAACGGCTGTAGAAATCCAAACCACTCGTCGTCCCTGCAATCTTCACGTCTTGTTAGTGCTAAAAAATAATGGATAAAAAACAGCTCATCCATTCTCACTTTTGGTGAATAATATTTTAGTCTCCTCCTCCCCCTTCATTTTTTCCTCATGCCACTCAACAACAGACCCAAATTCAACTCCACTCGTCTTTTGGGACCACAATTTTGCAAAACCCCTTGATTTATGCTCTGCATCATGCAAATTTTTTTTTTGCTGAGGCGTTGACTCGTATAATTTTGCATCATATAATTTCCTCTTCCCTTCGTTTATTTATTTTATTTGGTTGGCCTTTTTCTTTTCTTTTGGCTGGTCATGGTCATGCCACGAAAATCACATTGAGATTGAGATAATGCAGCAGGACTCAGTGTCCTCTGGCAATCGATTTGATTCTTGCGCACTTTCCGAGTGAGCAATTGCAGCTAGATTTGGTGCCATTGCCAGCCAGTCTCTCAGAGGCTGTCCCTCTATATCTCTCTCAGACATCTTATACGTATGATGATGGCAAATAAGACTAGCTACTACTTTCAGATCAAAACCAAAACAAAACAAGAAATGCACAGATGCCCGGCTGGTTTCCACTCAATACATTAGGGTCACTGTACTATTTGTAACATGTTGTGTTTAGGTGCACACATACAAGGCACCCGGGCTAATCTGTGTTTTTTTTTCTTCGTACAAACTAATTGTATACAATTATATGTTTATCTCTTTCATTGTTTTTATTATTATTTACAATGATAACATGTCTCCAAACTGAAACTACATAATGTGTGCCAATTGCCAAAGCTGTCTCATTGAAAATAATAAAAAGGACATGAGTGTGTGGTTGTGTGCCTACAATATTATTCCATACCAACCCCCCATATTATGTTTTTCTCCTTCATACGACCTAATACTATGTTTCTATATGGTGTTTAGATACTAAGTACAATTTGCCTTCATTGCTTTGCAGAGACTTTACAGAACTAAAAATTAACCAACAGGTGGCTACTACTAGCTACAGTGAATTCCCCAAAAAATAAAATAAAAAGAAACACAGACAAGAAAAGAAACAGGCGAGCTACAGACAGTAGACTAGAAAGAAACAGGTGAGAGACGTGGGTTGTCGGTTGTCCACATTTCATAATCTCTCCTCAAAAACAAAGTGTATCCATTAAATACTACGTATATACATGCTTAACCTAAACTTACATACGGGTACAGCTAAGCTAACACATGATTGATTGATATTTAAATCCAATTATTTAATAATGTGTTTTTTTTGGGTAACAAAACAAAAAATAAAAGCAACATTCTTTCATTCAATCTAGGACTGAATTATGAATGGAATCCTAGAATTAACTTATTAATAGACAACTTATTATTTTTTGAGGGGAAATGTGATAAGCAAATATGATAAAGATTTATGGTGTAATTATTGGTGTTGCATTGCATATCATGATAAGAACTGTTTCTTATTTTAATTTTCTTGTATATCATCATAGCACAATGTAGCATTGGTGCACTCTCCCATGAGGACATGTCTATTTATATTCCTCTCCCCTCTACTGGTCAGCCAGAGTGTGAAAGTGAAGCACTGGGCCTTTTGTTATTGTTTCTGCTTGTGTGTGTGTTTGAGAGAGAGAGAGAGAGAGAGAGAGAGAGAGAGAGGGGCTCCTTCCTTAATTGTCTCTCACATGTCTTGTTTATCTTCATTTATCTTATAGAAAAAATCTCCTGAAAGAAAGCAAAGAAAGCATAAAAGTGAACCCCCCATCTCTCTCTCTCTCTCTCTCTCTCTCTCTCTCTCTGTGCTGCCTTAGATTTGCTGAGATCTTGAGTCGCTTTCCTGTGTCTGACTCCCATATGGTCATGGGGACAATGACCCTTAATTTCCCTCTGCAAAAGAAACTCTCTTTCTCTCTCCCTCTGCGCAACTCCTTTTCTTCTTTACCTGCCACAAGAATATGGATTAGGGTTTTGAACAGCGCCTCTAATTACTTAGATTTTAGGGTTATGTGTATTTAATGGTCTCTTTCATTTATATGTGTAGACAATGTTTGGATCCTATAATCTGCAGATGTGTACTGCTTGGAAGTTTCAGAACAAGTAAGTAAATGGTTTCTTTCTTTTCCTCTATGATACTCTCTCACTCTAGTTTTTCTTGTATTATTATGCCTTGGCCCTTTGGGTTTTTACTCTCACTGCTAGCTCCAGTACTTTGTTCCTTTTTTGAAGTTTTAATTGGTTTAGCCTGAAGCAGAAATAAAGTGGGCTTTATTTCTATGATATATTTATTTCTATGATCTTTATGTTTTAGTTTGCTGAATATTCACTTCTTAGCCTCCTCGAACAACCAAATTTTGTTGTTGTTTCTTCTGCATATATTGTCTATTTGCTTTTTCTTTTCTTTTTCAACTGTAACTAGTTGCTGATGAAGATGTTCATGATGAAAATTGGGTTTTAATCATTTAGTATATATACTAGCTAGATTTCATGAAGTGGACATTTTGTTGTTTATTTTTCATTTTAGCTTTCTGGGATTCATGAGGTCAACCATAAGGTGAAAAATCTCTTATAAGTTTGTCTTTGTTTGATAATTTTTGCTCAGTGCATGAAAAAACTTGTGATTAGAGATTATTAGGGTGACTAATTTGGGAATGAGAAAAAATTAGCATTCTAATAACTTTTTCTTTGAAGAATGGAAAGGATTATATATATGGTTGCTCTGAATTAGCTACTGTTTGGTTTTGGGTATTTCTAAAGTAAATGGCAAAAGCTCTCAATATACTGAACTAGTTTGTTGCATAATTAGCTTCTCCAATATGAAAAACTGAAGAAAAATAATTGCCTGTTTTGTCTGTGATGTGATGTTGCCTTCATTGATTTGAGCGCTAGAGTGAGAAAGTGGTGTCCAGTACAAAGTGCAGTTGCATGGTGGTGGGTTTTTAATTACTTGAGCTTAATTTATTGGCTTCTATATGAATGTCAGAAAGCAACTCAAGTAGTCTCAGCAGG